GAAGGAAGGAAGGAAGGAGGAAGGAAGGAGGGAGGGAGGGAGGGAGGAAGGAAGGAAGGAGGGAGGAAGGAAGGAAGGAAGGAGGGAGGGAGGGAGGGAGGAAGGAAGGAAGGAAGGAAGGAAGGAAGGAAGGAGAGTTGTGGTGGTGCAATGGTTAGAGTGCTGTATTGCAGGCTAACTCTGAATTCCAACCGCCAAGATTCGATCCTGACCGGCTCAAGGTTGACTCATCCTTCCGTCCTTCTCAGGTCAGTAAAATGAGGACCCAGATTGTTGGGGGGCAAAAGGCCGACTCTGCAATCGCTTAGAGAGGTTCCCCCCCCCCCCGAGTTTCCCAGCCCTACAAAAGGCCAAAGGTCACCCACTTACCAACGTCGGACTCTTTGTGGGTTTTGATGATTTCCGCCAGTTCAAAGTTGCCTGCAATGATGGCCACCTGCAAGCAAAGAGGCCAGAGTGAGCCGGACGGCTGCTGACCACAACGACTTCTTTGAGTGCCACCCTGCCTCACCACAGCCCTGCAAAGGAGGCCCTTGGACTTCTGAGAGGGGTGCAGGAAAGGGACACGCTCCGTCCAAGCGGTCAAGCTCAGAGGCATTCGTTTGCTGCAGGGTTGGACCCCAGGAAGAGCCGGGCGTGGCAAAGGGTGTCCTGAGCCCCCGGGGACCCCCAGAAACCTTGGGAAGACCCTGGAGAGAGGCCTCTGAATGGGGGAGACCCCCTGGGGGGGTCAGGAGGAAAAGGACCTTTGCAGGCCTCATTCAGCGCCCCTCCCAAGGGCACCAGGACTCGGCCGACATCAGGCAGAAAGGAGCAGCACCGGTGCCCCCCTCAGGCTCGGGGGCGGGGGGGGGAGGAATCTGATAGCTCCCAGGTCCACTTCAGACAGGGGTCCAAGAGGCAGATTGGAGCATCAGTCACCCACCTCACCCGCAAGGGAAAGCTGCACAATTCAGCTGGGGCAGTTGTGATGCCCTCTGTGCCCCGATGCCCCCGTCCCTGAGGTATCCACCACTGCACAGCCAAGGCAGCCAGGGTGGAGGGAGTCAAATGGGGAATGAGTCTGCCATCCCTGCGTGGGCACCTCAGGGCCGCCTCTGACCCCCTTTGAATGCCGTTGAACCTTAGGGAAGGGGGCCCAGGTGCACATTGCCGGCCCGGGAAGATTCCTGTAAAACGGGCCCAGAGCAATAAAGTAGCTAGTTGAACTCTTTGTCAAGCAATGTGTGGATCTGGTTTGATCTGAGCAGGAGGCGGGGAGGGGCAGTGGGGAGGCTGAGGGGGCCCCACAGGTCTCCCCTTCCCCAGCTCTGAACCGGGGGGAGGGATTCAGGGCTCCTTGGGGTGCCCTTCCCGGTGCGCCCCCCTCCCCGGGCCCCAGAGGGGATGCGCCCTTTGTGACGCCACCCTTTCTCTGGTGACTTTTGGGCAGTAGAAAGAGGGACTGATCCCCACCCCCCACCCCATCCCCAAGGCCTGGAACAGGAACCGATCCAAGACGCCTCTTGCCGACTTGAAGCATGAAATGGACACAGACGGGTGTGAAATGCAGCCCCCCTGCCCCCGAGTGGTGGACGAATCGCCAAGCGCCTGCCTCACGTGGGCTGAGACGGATGCCAGTCGCGGGGCTTCGAGGGGACATGAGGAAGCCCCCGACAGAACTTGGGGGGGTTGCTGGAAATGCCCTGTCCTGCCTGGGCTTGGGACCCCCAACCCCGAACGGCCCCGGTCCCTTTGTCAATCGGTTACAAGATGGAATAAGTACAAACACGAGTAAGGATATAGGAAATAGGTGCGGATAAATGGGGAGAACAGGACGGGGACAGGAGGCACACGTGGGGCGCTTAGGCAGGCCCCTTACGGACCTCTTGGGAAGGGGGTGAGCAGCCCCCGCCTCCCGCTTCTCTTGGTCCCCTGGCCTGGGCGGGGGTGGGTGGGGGGATATCCCCTCTGCACCCCCCTGGAGTCTCTCCGGGCGCCCCTCCCCGCCAGAGGGGAGGGAGCGGGGGGGTCTCTCTTCCAGAGCCTGCCATGCCCCTACCTGAAACGCCGTCTGGCTGTTGTAGTTCCGGATCTCTTTGCTGGCTCCCCGGAACAGCAGCACCCGGGCACAGCTCTCCTGGGCGAGAAAAGAGGGGCAGCGTCAGAGACCCCCCCCCCACCGCTTGGACTGGGCAGCGAGGTGGCCCGGTTCAGGCAATGGCGGTGCTGGAGGGGCCAACGGGGCGGCCTTCCCTTCTTGGCTGTCCCCGGCCCCACGCAGGGTTTGGGCTTCAGCTTCGGTCCGGTAGCCTGTGACCCTGCAGGGCCAGCCCCTCCCCCCCTCTTGCCCTCACCCCCCCCCCAGTCCACTTCCGTCCTCAGCCCAGAGGGGGGCGGCAGAGAGCCAAGCCCGGCTAGCCCTGAGCTACGTCCAGTTAGCCTTTGGAAGAGGACCCTGGAATCCCCCCCTCCCCCAGGACCGGCGGGGGGGCACAAAAGGGCTCCACTGGCACGGCAGGAACTGGGCTGGGAATTTGGCCCCCCTCCCCACGGGATCCTTCACTCCCCCCTTCACAAAGTCCACCTTCCTTGGAGCCTTAGCGGAAAGTGAATGGAACTTGGCATTCGCTTTCGGGAAGGAAAAGAGGGCGAAGGAACTGAATTCCTGCCAGACTCGGGTTAGCTATGCCCCTTTTTTGGGGTGGGGGGGAGGAAGAGGAACCCCTCACCCAGGGCTAGGTGGGGCTCTCTTCAGAAGGACCCAGAAGGCTGAGCCTCCACCCCACTGGGCCTCCTCGGCTCAGCACCTTTGACATCTGGAGACGCTTGAGTGCCCCCGGGGAGCGAAGCCGAGGCTGAGGGGCTGGTGTGTGTGTGTGTGTGTGTGTGTGTGTGTGTGTGTGTGTGAGGCTCACCTGGTTGTAGAGGGCGCAGACATGCAGGGCAGTGTTTCCCGAGGCGTTCTGGGCAGTCATGTCTGCCCCGTAGAACAGGAGGTGCTCCAGGTGCTGCACGTGGCCGTAGCGGCAGGCCTGCCCAGGAGACAGGGAGGCAGGACTCGCATTCACAGCCCACTTCAAGGCCCACCTCCCCTCACGCCACAGCTCCCACTCCGGATGCCGAACCCCGTGGTGCCCGCCCTCCCCTGTGGCCCTCCTGGGGGCCAGACAGAGAGGCACCTCTGCCCTTGTACTGCAAGAGGGCTGCGCAGGTGAGGGGGCTTATCTATCTGGGCCCACTCCTCCCCCTCGCCCCGCCCCCGGCTGAGCCCCTGCAACCCCCCACCCTGGAAAGGCTCACCTGGTGGATCTCTTGCCAGCCGTTCTCGTCGATGCAGCCCACCTTGGCGTAGTCGTGCAGGAGGAGTTCGCAGCAGTAGGGGTCCCCGCCCACCATGACACTGTGGTACAGGGGGGTCAGGCCCCGGCTGTCCTTGTAGTCCGTAGAGGCACCCAGGTCGAGCAGCGTCTGTGCAAAGGAAGCCACCAGGGGGGGGATGAGGGGGGCGAGGGGGCGGCATCGGGAGGCGGTGCCGGGCATCCCTGGCCCATCAGGATGGGTGGCACCGGTCCACGAAGGAGGCGGCATCGGGGGGCCCCGAGGGGCCGAGAGTGGACCGAGCTGGTCTTCCCAGGGAGATTTCTCAGTCTACGCCTTCAACTCATAACAAACACCCACTTTTATTTCTTTCGATTGGTCGGTTAAATACATGTAATTAATAGGTTGTTGTAACTGTTGTTATTGGTCATTGCAGAGTCAGCCAGGTGTTCAGGCTGCGTTTGACATTTTTGTCTGCCTATCGAGTCCTTACCAAGGACCTGGGAGGGGCAGATCCGGATGTTTGATGATCCTACAGAGATCGCTGCAGGATGGAAGCGGCTCCGAGCAAAGCTGCCTTCTGCAATTGACTAGGGCAAATTTGTCAATGCCATCGATGGTGTTCCAGTTGTTTTTATTATTTATTATTATTTTGCTTTCGCTTTTGTTATTATTATTTTACAAACGTTAATACTTTTATTATTACTAAATAATTCATAACAACAGTTAAACAAATGTGTGTATGTGTTTGTATTTAATATTCATTTATTTATTAGATAAATTCATTTATTCAAATGTATTGGCCACCTACTGCGGATTGAGATACTTTGCACACAGACACAGTTTGCAACCAAGCGGGATCAAAAAATGCAAGAAGGGCTATTTGAAACGGTGGCCGTCCAACCTCGGGAACCTTAAGACCCGTAGGCCTCAACGCCCAGTTGGAGCTGGGAGCCGGTGGGATGGGCTGCCTCATGACGACGGGGCTTCTCCTTTCGGAGCTGCCTCCTACAGCAGGGGACGGTCACCCATCGGCTGAGCTCTAGTGCAGGGGTCTCCAACCTTGGCCACTTTAAGCCTGGAGGAGCAAAGCTGGCTGGGGAATTCTGGGAGTTGAAGTCCTCCAGGCTTAAAGGGGCCAAGCTGCCATCTATTATCCCCGCCTGCTTTCCATCCATCAGCGGCCCCTCTTATCACATCCCCCCGGGTTCCCCCCCCACTAGCCCTCGGAGGCACCCATCATCCTGGCCTATTTAAGGCTCCTAGATTCTCCCACCAGGCGCAAGCAGGCAGCCATTCGCCTGCTTTCCCACCCCGAGGGCCGGTGCCTAATGTCCCAGAGGCTCTGGGGACACCTGGGCAGACCCACAAATTGGATTCCCAGGCAGGAACTGCGCCCGATGCCTTCGGATCCCGTTTGGGGGCCGGCAAAGATGCCCGCAGGGCTGAAGGCGAAAGGCAGTCCGAAGTACGTCTGTATGCCCCGCCCAGCCGCTTCTTCCTTGGGGTCCCTGGTGCCCTCTGAGCTTGGCGGTTCGCTTGCAGACATTCCAGGACCCAGCAAGGAAGCGCCAGGAGGGAGGGGGGTGGGTATGGCCTCCCCAGTGCTTTGCCCTGCCAGAAGGGTTAGACTGCGGTTCCTGTTTGTTTGTCTGAGTCGGCAGTTCCCCGTTTAACGCTCGGTTGCTCGTCTGATGTTAATCCGGGGGTCCATTTCCCTTGCTCCAGGGGTTGATTGCTGGCAAGGAGATGCTTTGGTCCTTTAGCTTTCCGAGGGTCTCTTTAACAGCCCCCCACCCCCATTGACGCTGATATAGAAACCGAGGAGAAATCCCCTTTCCTTCTAGCCCTGATTATGTCCCCTAGTTGGGTAATGGAACGTCTGCAACGAAACAGCCCAGCTCGGGGAGACCAAAGACTTCACAGTTGTTGTCGTCGTTGTCCTCCTCCTCTTCCTCCTCCTCTCCACAACCCCCTCCCTTCTAGTCCTGATGATATTCCCTAGAAATCACCAGGCTCAGAGAGCACCAAGGACCCCACAGTCCTCTCTCTCTCCCTCCCTCCCTCCCTCCCTCCCTCCTCCTCTCTTTTCTAGCCTTGATGACGTTCCCTCGTCGGGTCATGAAACAGCTGCAAGGAAACCACCAGGCTCAGAGGGCACCCAGGACCCCTCAGCTCGACCGGAGAACTCCAAATCTTCTCTCTCTCGGCTTCTTCCTGGGATTTGGCCAAGAGGCTCCCGGACTCCACTGGATGTTTGGCCACCGTGCTGCTGCCTGGCTGTCCCCCTGCAACCTCGCAGCTCCTGCCACCCCAGCCCCCTCCAAGGACCAGGGTCAGCTGTCCAGGCTGCCCCCCAACTCTGGCGTGGGGGGGTATTGGAGACTCACCCGCAGGGCAGTGTGGTTCCGACATCGGACGGCCTTGTGCAGAGCCGTCATCCCTTCGCGGGTTCGGAAGTCCAAGTGGGCGCCACCGTTCTTCAAGGCTTTGATAATCTCGGCACAGAACTCCAGCTGGGCACTCATGGTCAGGGGGCATTCTGGGGAGGGGAGAGACAGCTCTCAGCAGGGAGTCTCTGGAGGGTCCCCTTCAGCCCCCCCGTCACTATCCCCCCCCCTCAGGTCCAAGTGGACCAGTCTTTTCCCTACTGTTCTGACCAAGGCTTCCGAGACCGTAATTACGCACACACTTATATTTTAAAAACAAGACTGAGTTTATTGCAACACTGATAAACTGTTTTCATTCCCAGCCGGTAATGAATCTCAAACAGTCCCCCGAGATAAGCACCCACCTTTCTTTCCTGTGAAGTGCTGCCAATAACCAACCAGAGTACAAAGAGCTTCAAGGATTAATCCAAACAGAGCGAACAACGTTGCTTCCTGCAAAGGTTTCTCTACTTTTGCCTGACCTTTATCCCTTATGGGAGGGGCAATCACCCCTTTTGTCTCAGCTGCTCTCGCCTTCCGGCAGCTCTGTGCATACGCGTACTGGGAACAGGCTCCCCTGGTTCCTCTGCCTCGCTGCTGCCAGGCTCCGGAGTCAGCACCCCACTCCCAGATGACCCCGACCCCATCTCTGCATCGGACGCAGGTCCCTCGTCTGAGTCCTCTCCAGACTCCCGGACTGGTCCCTGTTCCTCCCCACTGTCCGATTCTGCTGCCGTCTGCACAGGCTGCCGGCGAACCACAACACCTTCCCTAGGTGACTTCACCACAACCTGGCCTGTTTCGGGCGGGGGAAGCTTTCCAGCTGCATCTTAAATAATCTTGATGAAATAAAACCCTGGCTCGGTCAGGCTTGTGAATCGAGTCACGCAGTACCTGGACCTCTCAGGTAGGCATTAAAAAAATGCCAAAGTCTCAGGTAGGACCGTCTCATGCACGTGCAACGTTGGCATTGGAAATGCAACTTGGACGCCTAACCACCGTTAAAAAGGCCCAAGGAGGAATGTTCTTCCTGCGCCAACTCAGGAAGCTCAAACTGCCCAAAAGGAGCTGCTGATCCAGTTCGACAGAGGAAGGATTGAGTCTGTCACCTGCACCTCTATCACTGTCTGGTTTGGTTCTGCAACCCAACAGGACAGACACAGACTCCAGAGAGGAATTAGGACCGCAGAAAAAACAATGGCTACCGACCTGCCTTCCATGGAGGACCTGGATCCTGCACCCTGAGTCAAAAAGAGGGCTGTGAAAATGTTTACAGATCCCACACATCCCGGCCATAAACTGTTTCAACTCCTTCCCTCGAAACGACGCTCCAGAGCACCGCACACCAGAACAACTAGACACAAGGGGAGTTTTTCCCCCCCGAACGCCATCACCCCGCTAAACAAATAATTCCCTCAACACTACCTTACGTCTAATTACTATCATCCTTCTCATCTCTTCTCCTATCTTCTCTTGTTGGTATCTTTAATCTGTTCGTTATTACTCTTTCATTTTGCATGTACAGTGAGAGCTTCTGTACCGGACACAAATTCCTTGCGTGTCCAATCACCATATAAAGGGCTCGATTCCATGCAATTCAATTTATAGCCAGCAGCAGAGATTGGACGTTGGATATTGGATATGTAAGGCACGCCATGTGAGTGCAGAGAAGAACACACCCTCTCACACGTGCTACGGTGCACACAAAATCCTTCAAGAAGTATGGAGGGAGACCTCCCGCTGGCGAGAGAAAATGCCATTGACGTGGCCTGATACGGGGCGAACGTTGTTTAGTTTCAATCCTATTTATTTTACACATTTTTAAGTGCGCTACATTTTCAATGACCTCTTTCACACTTGTTTTAGTTGCTGATTGTTGAATGTTACACCTATGTAGGTGCTTTGGGCACAAATGAAAGCAAGCAAGCAGGGCTGGGTAGGAAGAAGGCTACACAAGGGGAGAACCACGTTCACGTGTGTAGAGGGAGTCACCCTCCAGAAGACCAGATTCTAGACCAGAGGTCTCCCAACTTGGCCACTTTAAGACTTGTGGACTTCAACTCCCAGAATTCTCCAGCCAGCTCTAGACCAGAGGTCTCCCAACTTGGCCACTCTAAGACTTGTGGACTTCAACTCCCAGAATTCTCCAGCCAGCAGAGCATAGCATGCTAGAGAATATCACAGCAAAGCTGGCTGGAGAATTCTGGGAGTTGAAGTCCACAAGTCTTAAAGTGGCCAAGTTGGGAGACCTCTGGTCTAGAAGAAGACACGATTTCCAACCAGGTGAAGGCCAGATGATCTCTCCTTGGCCCGAAGTTCCCCTTAAGGCAGCATTTCTCAACCACGGCAACTTGAAAAGATACATGGCCTTCCACTCCCAGAATTCCCCCCCCGCCAGCTGTGCCAACCTGGCACAAGCAACCCTCATCTCACCTCCAGTGTCCGGGTCATGAAAATTGGGGTCCAGTCCTTTCTCCAGCAACCTGGTGACCTTCTCCACATTCAGGGCCTGCACATAGTCCATAAATTTCTTCAGGTTTGCCTGCAGCCACAAAACCCAGGAGGAAAAAAAAAACAGGCCAATTAGTAGCTCGCCCTGGCAGGCAGGCCGCAGGCGGTGGGCCGGAGACCCCGTCCTCCACTCTTAGCGGCCATTTCCCTCCCTGCACAACCAGGAAGAGGGCTGCCGAATCCTCCCCTTCACACCTGACCTGGGATCCATTTGATCTCAAATGCACGGACCCCCCTGGCTCTCAGCCCAAAGCGGCTTCCTTCTTTAACCCCATTACTCCAGAAAACCTTGTGGGTTTTTTTTTCAACTTGGATTTTGCTCCTCTGGCTGTCCTCAGGGTGGCCCGTTTGCTGAGCCTGCAGCCTGAGTCGTGGCCTTGGCGGGGCCTCCACGTGGCTCCCCACGGCTGCCGGCCAGGGCGTTCCCACGGGTGAAGAGTCGGAACCGCTTCACACAGTCCACACAGTGTGTGTGGGGGGGAGGGGTCACACTGGGGGGGGGGGGCCCAATTAAACCCTGCCCCCCCCACCATGCCTGCTCCCCCTTTGCCATCTTGCCCCCCCGGGATTTCCTCTGCTGTGCTACTTTATAGCGGGTGGCTTCCACGCTTCTGATGCTGTGAGCCGCCCAGAGTCGTCGGATACGAGATGGGCGCAAATCCCTTTCGTGAGACATCCCAAGCGAACGGCGGCTGTTGGGTGAGCAGCTTCCTCACCCGTGAACCCGTCGCCCTTCTGGGAAACGCTGCCCACCCACCCCCGCCCACCCGAAGAGGCTCATGTTCAGACTGGGTGGGGTTCCTTTCCGCCCCCTTGCAGGCCAGGACTGGGCCGGGCTCTTTGGGGGCCGTGGGGCACCCCCAGCCCTGGCCTCTTCTGCCACCCTTGCCCCTGCGGCCGGCAGCTCAGCTGCCCCTCTTTGGCCATCCTCTTTCATGCCCTCCCCCTCCCCCGCTCCCAGGCAGCAGGAGGGCCTTGGCAGAAGGCAAAGCAAACGGGACGGACGAGGAAAGAGATGCTGGAGAAAGGAAGGGGAGGGAGGGAGGGAGGGGGCCAGACTGATGTCGTCGCTGCTGCTCGGCCTGGGGAGGGGCATGAATGAATTAGAGGGGGGAGGAGTGGCAAGAGAGAGGAGGAGGGACCATCCCCCCCCCCGTTTGCTCTCTCCTGAACCGGGGAAGGGGACCATCGTCCGCTGCGCAAGCATCGCCCTCGGCTCCTGCTGCTCAACAGGTGCAGCCCAGGGAAGGCCGTGATCCAGGCTGGGCCCTGCCAGGGCTCCCCCCC